GGGCTGCCCGAGCGCTACTGGCTTCGGGCAGCCCCCTTGTCTCCAGACCCTGCGCCCCCCGCCGGGCGCTTCCCCTCCCGGGCTCCAGCTGCGCTGAGGAAGCGCCGGCCGGGGGTGCAGGGTCTGGGGGCTGCCCGGCAAACCCCGAAGCCGGTAGTGCTGGGGCAGCCCTTTCCCCGTGGCTGGGAGTGGGAGGGGGCGGAGTTAGGGCGGGAAGGGGCGGAGTTGGGGTGGGGCTAGGGGTGGGGAAATGGGCGGGGCCAGGGCCCGTGGAGGGTCCTCTTTTTTTATTTATTAGATATGGTAACCCTACTTTTACTCAAGAGATTACAGTTTATTTAGAGCCAGTCAGTAAATCTGGGATCTGGGTAATCCAGATTGTCCCTATGTGTTACTTATTTGCTTAGCTTTATTTGATCTCCTGAAGTTCCTAGCAATCCTCTTTTAGGCTTGACTGAGCAGTAGTGTGGTTGTCCATTGTGTGGCAGGCAGGCAAGCTATAGTGTTTAGGTTGCCAATGGGGAGCTGTGGCTGCTGAGTCAGAGCTGTGGGCTGCTTGTGAGTTGCCACTCACTACAGCTTTACAGGACTTTGTAAATCCTCACAATTCAGTGTGTCCTCTGTGCAGGAGGCAAGGTGTCCTGTGGGACAAGCACCCTTTGTGTGTGACCGTGCATTAATGATTGCTCTGCTCATGGACAAGGGGACATACATAGGGCTGCACATGTCCCCTTAGCTCTGGTATCCCAATTTCTGGGTGCTTCCCTGTGCAATCTGAGAAAGGGACACCGGGGTCCTGGGAGAGACACAGGCCCAGCGGTAGCAGATCACCGGCCAACAGAGGGCGCTCCAGAGGGCTGGAGAGCATTCCCGCGGACGACCAGCAGGAGGCACCGCTGGGTGAGTCTGCGCCTGCTTACAGGGAGGCTCCAGCTGTGAGCTTGGGCTGTCATCCCCAGGGTGAGGGGGCTCCAGCTGTGTGTGCCCCATACTGCCCCACTTTAGTGGGCGAAAGTGCTCCGGGTGAGGACACACACCACCGACAGAAGGAGCACGTGTGGGCACGAACCACCACTTGAATTACTGTGGTGGCTGTATTTCGACTTAATTTTGTAGTGTAGACATGCCCAGAGACACTGTTTTTATGGTTCATTACAACAATTGGTAACTCTTAATTGCCCACTTAATTTTAAGTGGTCTACTACAGCATGTATGAACCACTTACACTTAACAATCTGTCCCATCTTGTATTTAGCTTAGACACTCTGGTTACCTTCTCCTTATCTGAAGAAGAGCTCTGTGATGCTCAAAAGCTGGTCCCTTCTACCAACAGAAGCTAGTCCAATAAAAGATATTACCTCACCCACCTCGTCTCTAATATCCTGGGACCAACACAGCTACAAAAACACTGCAAATTTTTAGAGAGAATCTCACTTCCAGCAATCCTGGCTCCTGGCTTTTGAGCTCAATTGAGAAGACCCAGCGAGCCCAAATCCAGAGCAACTATCACCTTCTGCAGGCAGAGAAAGCACTTACCCCATTCTTGGCCGCCAGCCACAGGTATTTCAGAGCCCTCTGCTTTGCAGACTGCAGCCCCTTCATGTAGAGCACCCCAAGGTAGGCCTGTGCCTGCAGCAAAACCACACAGCACAAATCACTAGGGATTATCTGACTTTATTATAGATCATGCCCATCACCATGGTATCTGTGTGCCTAGTGACTCACTCCCTGTGGGGTGTCAAACCATGGTCTCCGGTGCCACAGGCAAGATGTTCACCAGTAGACTGGAGGGGAGAACATCCTCCCTGCTGCACAGCCCATGGAAGGGGAAGAGGTTGTCCCGAGAGGATAAACCTGGGCCTCTGTCATGGAAAAAATGAGGAAGCCACAAGTGTATAAAAATGAGGAAGGCACAACTGTATAAAAAAAAAGGCAAAAGGCTCCGAAGCAGGGTGCTTGGAGGTAAATACCCTTTACTTTGCAATAAAACCACTGCACTAACACCCAGGTTACGCTCTCATACTCCACTGCCCTGGGCAAACAGAGCCACATGTGTGCATGACCATGGAGGAGTCCTGACCATGAGCTGTTACCCCAAACCCTACAGACTGTCACTTATACAGTAGCTATGCGTGTTTGAACACCGCCAGCATGGAGTGCTCCACACAACACTTCTGAACTTTCTGGGAAGCAGTGTCCCTGGGGCTGGCATATACCGTTCCTATATACTGCCATGTCCTCCCCCATCTGAAGATACGTATGAGGGAGCAGAGCCCCAAATACAACTCAGTGCCTGCCACAGAATCACCACTTCGATAAAACCCCAAACTAATAGAAAAGGAGGGAAGGGAGCACAGATTCATGCAGGTGAGTCATGTCAGAGAACTACAATTACTGGGTAAGTAACTGTTCTTCCTTCAAGCATAGCCTGCAGGAATCCCTCCTTGTGGGGATTTGCAAGGCTTCAATGAAGCGAGGTTTAGGAGTCTCAGTTGAGAGTTAAGATTGCAGGTTGGTTTAGGTCCTAGAGGCTAAATCTGGTGAACTTGGCCAGGGGCATGTGTGGCTGGAACTCCAGATAATAACCTTGCATGTTCTAATAACTCAGAAGTGGAGGCATTTCGAAAGCATGCAGTCTGGTGGCATGTGCTCTTTTTCTAGTACCGGGATCCTAGCTACTTCATAGCAAGAAAGTGCAAATGTAATCTCCTTGGAAGGAGTCTGTGTGGAACTTTACTGACCCCTTGTACTATCCCCAGGCGCTACAATAACACTGGTCTACAA